CTCTACAAAAAAATCAAAAAATTAGCCAGGCATGGGGATGCGTGCCTGTAGTCCCAGCTACTCGGGAGGCTGAGGGGTGAAGGATCGCTTGAGCCCAGGAAGTTGAGGCTGTGATGAGCCGTGAGTTGCCACTGCCCTCTAGCCTGGGTGACAGAGTGAGACCCTGACACTAAATGAATGAATGAATGAATGAATGAGTAAATAAATAAATAAAACCGTATTCTAAAGAACTGGCAGTGAAGTCCAGTAAGTAGTTAGTTGCACAAGGCTCTTTTCAATGATGCATTTCAATGCAGGCTGGTAGAATTATGTCAAAGGGTAATATCATTAAAGTAATTCTACAAGAAATACTGAAATTTTTCACAAAACATCTTGAATATGCAGGACGTGCTGGGGGGGCACCATAAAAGGAGATGGTTAGTTCCTCCCCCCACCCCTAATGAGGCCCAAATGCCACTCTTCTACCCCTCACCTTCCCCAGACATTTGGGAGGACTGAGTCAGAGGTTCCCAGCTCCAGTTCATCTGGGAATCACCAGAGGGTCAGAAGAGCCAGCTGGGGTGAGAGAGTGTATGAGGTTTCCTCTTAAATACCGCCCAGTTCAGCTCCTCAGGGACTGAAGTCACCCTCATATATCACTGGTGTGTGTTTGGCTGTACGGCCCCTCTGTAGTGGGGACCCAGAGCCCCCTTGGGGGGAGGGGGCCCCCAATGCTCTGTGCTAACTTGGGAGGCACTGTAGGGAAAACAAACTCTTCCAGGTGTGCTGAGGGAGCATCCTGGCTCCTTCTGCTACTTCACACGGGATGGGTGCTGTTCCCAAGTGAGAACCATCCCACTTGGGATCCCCTTGCCAGCTATAACTCTTCTTTTCCACTCAAGAAAGCATAAACTTTTGCAGGTCAGGGACTTGTGAATCCATAGCAACTTATAAAATTCATAAGTCACTGGAGAACGTCAATGCTTTATTAGTAAAACATTATTTGTGACATAGCTCTCAACACATTAAGTCACCATACTGTCTTCTGAACTGAGGCTAAGACCCCCAGACACCTGTGTCTACCACCTGCATGACCATCCCCACCCACTGCCTAAGGACAGGAGGACCCTGCAGCTGCATTTCAGACAGACAGCATATGTATTTGAGGAAAGAAGTCAGGCTTGTCCCTGGGCACGGTAGCTACAAACAAGACTTTGGGTCAAACAGCCCAGCCCTGCCTCTCTGTTCCTTATTAGCAAAGTGACCCTGGGGAGGCTAAGCCTGGTGTTGTCTTGCTAAAAATGGGTTTTGATTAGCCCAACTAGTACACCCTCACAATGCCAGAACAGGGCAAGAAGTGCAGAGTGACTAGCACATGCGAATATGCCAAGTAACTCTCAGTTATCACTGTGTTACCCCGTCACCCGCATTCTGAGCACGCTCCTTGAGGAGCGTCATCTTGTGTTTTTTTTCCCTTGTGCTCAGCACAGCGCCAGACACAGGACAGTTTCCCATGCAGGTCCTGAGTGGACAGACCCACCCACCCAGTCAGCATGAGCAGCTGCTGAGTGCCAGGCACTGGTCTATATACTGTGGACAGAGCAGTGACAAAATAGTAAGGTCCTGGCCTCCAGGTGCTTGTGTTCTAGTGGGAGAAAGAGACAGGCAGACACCTAGTGGGACAGAGGGAAAAATAAAACAGAGCAGGAATAGCCGGGCTCAGTGGCTCAGCCTGTAATCCGGCACCGTGGGAGGCTGAGGTGAGTAGATTGCCTGAGCCCGCGGGTTCAAGACCAGCCTGGGCAACTTGCTGAGACCTCATCTCCACAATAAATCAAAAAATTAGCCAGGCGTGGTAGCGCGCACCTGTAGTTCCAGCTACTTGGAAGGCTGAGGCAGAAGGATCGCCGGAGCCCAGCAGGTCGAGGCTGCGGTGGCCAGGAGTGTGCCACTGCACTCCAGTCTGGGTGATGGAGTGAGACTCCAACTCAAAAACAAAAACAAAAACAAAAAAAACCAGAGCAGGATTAATGGGTTAGGGAGGGCCAGATGAGGTAAGGCTGCTCTGTGATACTTCACAGAAGGTCTCTCTGCCGTCACATCTGAGCAGAGGCTTAAAGGACGCAGGTATCTGCAGAAGGTGTGCTTTGAGCCAAGGGAACAATGGGTGCAAAGGCCTGGGGGACAGGCACACCAGATGGCATTTTGAGAAAAAAAAGAGGCTAGTGAATGAAAAGGCTTTCTCTCTTTTTCTATTTCATTAAAATGAGCATACAACACAATTCAGAAATTTTAAAAGATGTATTAAAATATTCACAAAAATACAATTGAAAAAGAAAAGATCAAAAAGTAATAATGAGCTTGATGGTTTTTCCCTATGGATATATTTCCACTGAAAAGCTAGGGAGCTTGGAAGTTTAATTTCTAAGTAATCCCTTTCCAGTGCCCCCTTATAGAATTCACACATAATTTTAAGACGACTCATTCTGCCAGCAATAAGACATAAGACACAGGAAGGGCAGGCCGTCCCTTTGGAGCAACCCTACTGTTGTTATCTGCAGCCAGGGAAGGAAGGCAGAGGCCCAGGAGAAAGGTTCAGAAACCCTACAGGGGATGGTGAAAGGCCCTGCTCTGGGATGCTGTTTATAAGCGTGAGCGATTTCCCCCAGCAAGACCGTCCTACACACTCAGGGAGTGATGCTGGCAGCTGGCTGCCCTTGAGGGGTGAGAAGGGTGGTGAAGGCTGGCAAGGGAACTCTGCCAGGATGCCAGGTGCTGACAGAGTTGGAGCGTCTGGCTAGGCAAGGAGGTCATGAAGTCAGGCTTGCAAGGAAATGCTTATGGTACCATTCGAGTGAGTGTCCCCCCCAAGCATTGCTTCACAAATACACGGCCCTGACACCAAAGGGAGAAATGAGCGCTCTTCTCTCAGGGAATTCAGGAATGGACAGTTTATTCACAGGAACTGTTGCGAATGGAATGAAAAAAGAATGTCCCTTTTGTCTTTGAAAAGTGACTATGAGGAAATATAACACACGTCACATATACGCTTGGTGTCTGGACAATTTGTGTCCTTTCTGCTCAAGAACAGCCTCGGTCAGCTGCGGGGCTCCCGCTGGGGAAGGCTCGCCGTGAGGCTCATCTTGGCACCAGCTCGGAGAACGGTGACAGTCCCAGCGCCCCTCCCCTCCAGTCACATAAACAGGCCTTCCAATGGCTCCTGTGGTTTTAAAAAATGAATACAGAAAAGTTTCAGGGCGAAGGCAGAGCCAAGCACTCTGCAGAATGTTCCAGGCAGGCACTCTGTCACTCTCTCGAGCTGGGCCTAGGAACGCGGAAGGCGGCTCAGAGGTACATACAGACCACATGCTGCTCAGCTTCAGAAGATGACGTGTGTGGTACAGACCTGACCCCTGTTTACTCACACAGACATGGAATGTAAGTAAGAGCAGTAAAGGAGTACCAACACTGTTCCTTGGAGAACAACAGGCCTCAAGAAGCTCACGTGCCCTCACGTACCCCTTTAGATCTCAACCCCGCCTTACCCCTCCTTATGAACTCACTTGGAACCCAGCCTTCACGCGCCCCCAAAAGATGCCAAGGCGGGAGGGAAAGGGAAGCAGCATACCATGGACTCTACGCTAAAGGGAGAAAAACTCACACTAGCCCTCACTCCCCCTCCTCCAAACACAATCTGAGATCATCTAGACAGTATTTTCCAGTAACTGTGGGCTTCCAGACAATTTTAAAGGGGGTAAATTTTTAAAAATAAAGTAATCCAGGAGATGGGAGAATACAATGCAAGTGTTTAATGATCTTCACCATGCTTTTCATCCCTAGTAAGAAGAAAATCACATAGATTTGCGGTGGGGTTGGGGGGAGTCAATGGGAGAAAGTGAGTTTTGGGGAAAGATACCCACACTGTCTGTATTTTTCCTCATCTCACTATCAATTCCATGTAATGGGGGAAGGGTGGGGGTAGTTAAAAAACAGCCAAAACAACAAAAACCTAAAAAACAAAAAGGAACAGAGGTGAGATTCCCAAAGCAGCAGTACTAGGCCTCTTTGATTTTTAAAAATCCAGACCTACCTTAACCTCAAAGGTCCTTGAGTTGTCACAGAGCTGATATAAAGCCATGACTGATGCTGCCTCTTGCTGGAAGCATGACCAAAGCTTTATAAAAATGGTGATTCTTTCTGTGTGTGGTGGTGCATGCTTGTAGTCCCAGCCACTTCAGAGGCTGAGGCAGGAGGATTGCTTGAGTCTAGGAGTTTGAGGCCAGCCTGAGCAACACAGCAGGACCCCACCAAAAAAAAAAAAAACAAAATCAAAAGAAGGTGATTCTAGAGAGCTCTGGAATCCTGGCAAGTGGAAACCTATCGATCCCATTCTGCCTGCTTAGAAGGAGACACTCCTCTCCTTCAGCTGATGAGGACTCTTTATTTCATGCAGGAAGGACTTCAGCAAAAAGTAAAACTAACACCTTTTACCCTCTGTAGGGTACAATACTCCAGCAAAGTCTGGATGTTCTACTTTAATCTCTGTGGCACTGATCTCAAAGTACCTAGAAGGAAGCAAGCTCTGGCATTCATCCTTTGCTATTATAAATCTATAAATTGATAAAATATACTTCAAGGGTGTAGTGTTAAAGTAAGTCTACACTACATATAAAGCTAAAAATTGGCCCACATTTTAAAGAGAAAAACATCAACCCAAACTTCTCCAGCTGTCTTCAAGTGGTACAGCCAATGGATATTTTTCTAAAAGCTGCACCCAAGTAAGTATTAAAGGCTTTTCTGGACACGCTACCATCACAGAGTCTCCATTCTCCAGCTACAATAAATGCTAAGACTGATTGAGCCCTTGGATAAAAGGCCATGTCTACTGTAAATACTAAAAGATTGGCTACTGTCTCCCATAAGGCAACCCATTTCTAAATGATGGTGACAGGAATGTTTCTGAAATTTCCCAACTGTAAACAACCCTGGAAATAAGTACAAAAACAGCAAGACAATTTATACATATGTAGAGTCACACCATCTTTTCATCATGCAACACTGGCTCCTCACACAGGAAGATTAAATAGAATATTTATACATATCCTTTATACACATCCTTTTCTCCCTCTATGAGTACACATGTGCTTGTCCTTGCCTGGGTCTCCAAGGCCACATGTGGTTTGGGCTACATTTTCTGCAAAGAGTCCAGTTTGGATTTGTTTCTTGCTTAGGATATGTTCTGGGTCTTCTCTTAATTTTTCCGGATGTCTGCATACACCACAGATTCTGACTTGTTAATCTTGTCACTGTGATGTCCGCCAGAGTGGTCTAACTGCGCATATATGACTGGGCCCTGGAAAAGAGAAGTAGAAGGTTCACAGTTTAGAAAAGCTGGTGGTCTCTTCAGCCAAGAGTGTAGAAGCAGTAATGAAAGTGATAAAATTAGAGTCCAAAGCAGAGTTCCCTCTTGAGTATCTTCAAGAAGACTTCTTATGATATGTTCAGGATCAACTTGAAACAAGGCTGGGCATCCATTGATAATTGTTAAAGCTGATACATGGAGATTTGCTACATTTTTCTACTTTTGCTGTTTGAAAATTTATATAACAATAAAGATTTCTTCATAGGAATATTCCTTGTCTTAACATACATCACAGAATTCCTCAGTGCTTACAATTGAGGTCAGAGTCTTAACGACTGAAATGGGCACTTCTACCAACCTGAGACCCACTGAAATCATGAGCTTCAGAATAATTCATGCAAGAAACCAACATATTTGGTGTCACCCAAAGATACAATCAGTTTGATCTGGTCACTTCATAAAAACAGGTACGTAAAAACATTTTAAATACTCTTCAATACAACTACTTGCAGTACAATTATTTTAGTCTGATCCTATTGTGACCAATAAAATTATTGCTTCCTTGATTTCTAAATATCAGATAATTGTTCTTCTTGTTTTAAAGCAAAATTTTCTTTTAAATGCCACAATCCATATTTATTTATTATAAATAAAAACCCTAGTGGACTAAAGTAGAAAAGACCTTCTTCTTAGAAGGAAGAGGCTAGAGTCCTAGAGAACCGTAGAGTTCAGCCCAGGAGAACAAGGGAAGGCTGGGCTGCCTGGGTGGAGTCCCTGACTGTAGGCGAAGAGGTTAGACATGTGGTTGCACTTCATCACCCTTCCAGTCCCTTCCAACCTGATAGTCTAAAATTGTAAATAGCAACAACAAAACAGCCCTGGTTTTAAAAGAAAACTTGTAATATCTCCCAGAATCAACTTTTCTCCCCATCGAGGGAACTCTCCTTGAGAAGTCTAACTCTAGTGTTAGACTGCAGTGTGTTCAAGCTTTCAACTTTCAGGAATCAAAGCGCGTGGTTTAAAATAAATGCCTCCCCCTCATCCAGGAGCCCTAACCACCTGCATCCTTAGTGTGTGGTGATCAGGATTCTGTGGCGATCAGGCGCTCCAACTTCTTGTAGAAGGAACGGGCCCGGCTACAAGGGCTACACAATGGTGCACCCAAAAGTAGACTTATATAATAAAATAATGCTTGAGGACTAGGTCCATTCAAACACTGGCAGATACCCAGTCTGAATCATGAGATGGTCTTCACTGACCCAGTTGGAGAACAGCACTGGTCATGTGGCCTCAGGGATATCTGTAAACCTCTAAGCATGTATTTCTTCATCTCTAAAGTGGTACTAGTAATAGTATCTATACTTTTTAGTGTTGCTATGAGAATTAAATGAGATGATTCTTATAAATAACTCAGGCAGTGTCTGAGAAATAGCACTCAATGTATATTAGATATCATTAAGAACACTTTGTTACACAAACCCTTTAAAATACACCAAGGAAATTGATCAAGTAAATCAATCGGTCAAACTCTATGTGTTTAACTTTAGTTTATGATGCTTTCTAATGCCTGTCATGAGTAATATTAACAGATCACATTGTTAGTAATGGATGATACAGAGACCCTCTATGATCATCTCAGAAAGCTGCAAGGTAAATGCTAAGCCCAAAAGAAGTTAAACAGACTATTTTCTACTACTACTAGGAACAGAATGATAAAAATACTAAGCTGGGCTCAGTGGCTCAGCCTGTAATCTCGCGCTTTGGGAGGCTGAGGTGAGTGGAATGCCTGAGCCCGTGGGTCTCTGAGCCCGCGAGTTCAAGACCCACCTGGGCAATTTGGCGAGACCTCATCTCTACAATAAATCAAAAAATTAGCCGGGTGTGGTAGCGCGCACCTGTAGTTCCAGCTACTTGGAAGGCTGAGGCGGAAGGATCACCGGAGCCCAGCAGGTCGAGGCTGCAGTGGCTGGGAGCGTGCCACTGCACTCCAGTCTGGGCCACGGAGTGAGACCCCAACTCAAAAAAAAAAAAAGAAAGAAAGAAAACAAACTATTCCCTAGTAATAGCCACTTCCAAAAATAGGACAGACCTCCCCAAATTATGTAAATTCTTAGATTATAAAACCCCTTATGAGTGTTCCTAAAGACTCATTCAGAGTTATAGGATGTGTTCATGGGGAAAGAAGCTGACAATGAGTGATGGGGTATAAAAAGGGCTACAAACTCTGGCCTTTACTGTACCTGCATCCTTTGAATACAATGCTATAGATCTTTTCATCAAGAGCAGAATCTATTTCTCCACCTCTTGAATCTGGGCTGGTCTTGTGACCTACTCTGACCAACAGAATGAGGCAGAAGTGATACTGTGCAATTTCCACACCTAGACATCAACAGACCTTGCAGTTTCCACTCTCCTGCTGATCTTGGGACCCGTACAGCCACCACTCCCACGTGAAGCCCCAGCTAGCCTGCTGGCTGATGAGAGACACATGGCTCAGTCATCCTCTGTCTACTTGGTCAACAGCCTGTCAACGATCAGACTGTGAGTAAGGCCATCACAGACTGTCCAGCTACCAGTCAACCCTTCGACCTATTGCAGACACATATGTGAACCAGCAGAGATGAGCCTGAACTGACTCAGGCCAGAATCTGCCCACCCAATCCACAGAATAGGGAGCCAAATAAATGGTAGCTATTTTTAGCCACTACATTTTGGGGTGGTTTATTGCAAAGCAATATAAATGACACACTGAGTGGAAAAGAAAGAGAACAGAGAGAGAAAACAAGAAAAAGAACCCAGAATTATCCCCGAATCAGTCAGTAAATACTAAGATACCAATAAGGTCTTACATGTGAGAGAACTGTTTTTCATGGCAAGAGAATGTTGAAAGTAACTGGAAAAACACTGAAGGAATTCCGTCCTGTTGGTGGATTTGGTTTTCTGCAAATCATCTACCGCTGCCTGGTGTTATCCTCACTCCCTGTTCCCCTTAGAATGTAATAGGTCTTAAGTCAGGGACTTTGTTAGCTGCCTAGAACTTGGCATACCATATGTGTTAGATGAAGGGATGGATGAAATAATGGGTCCAGAGAAACTGTGGATGTAGGTGAGGTCAGAGGTCAGCTGACAGTACTCTCTGTCTCTGATTTTGAGGGCCAAAGAGACTGCTTTTAGTCAGGTCTTCTCTTACTAAGTCTTTTCTGATTATAGCACAAATAGTGACCATAGTGTGCAGACATCTCTTCTAAATGTCCTTCTTGGGGTAAAAGAACTAGTGTTCTTTTTATTCTTCTGGCAACAAAACAAAACAAAACAAAACATGGAGCGCCCACACAGTCTCAAAGTTTTTACCTCCTGTGCATTCTTTCCCAAGAGCTTATAGAGAATATGATCATAATATGGAAATAAATAAGATGAAGACCTGGGGTCTGGCCAGGCACGGTGGCTCACACCTATAATCCCAGCACTTTGAGAGGCCAAGGCAAGAGGATTGCTTGAGTCCAAGGGTTTGAGACCAGCCTGGGCAACTTGGCAAAGACCTCGTCTCTTCAATAAATAAAATAATTAGCCAGATGTGGTGGTACACACCTATAGTTCCACCTACTTGAAAGGCTGAGGCGGAACGATCGCCTGAGCCCAGCAGGTTGAGGCTGTAGTGGCCATCAGCGTGCCACTGCACTCCAGTCTGGGCAACACAGTGAGACTCCAACTCATTAAAAAAAAAAAAAAGACCTGGGGTCCAAGTGAAGGGGGATAAAGAAAATTCCTTGCAAGGAAAGGCTGAGGTTGACAGCTAGAGAGCAGCCTAGAGCACAACAACACCAGAGGATTTCAACAGATATGTCTTGCAAAATGAAATGAAACCAACAGAACAGGTGATGTTTGGCTGTGCGCAGGGATTTTTAATTCTGTTGGAGAGTTTTGAGATGGAATATAAATATATATAAGCAAATAAAAAACAGGCAGAAATTAGCTCCATGAAAAACAAAAAAGTATACAAGAAAGCAAAACAATGTGGTACAACAGTGAAAAAAAAAAAAGACACATGTAATGCTGAATAATAATCTACGCATATATGATGAGATAACTGTACTGGAAAGAGGCAGATACGTATATGTGTACATATAAGTATTATATGTTGGGAGGAAGGGCTGAGGTTAAAAATAATTAAATTCATATTTTTCCATGGTACAGAGTAGCGGTCTCCAACTTTTTTGGCATCAAGGACTGGTTTTGTAGAAGACAATTTTTCCACGGACCTGGGGGACAGGGGGATGGTTTCAGAATGATTCAAACGCAATACATTTATTGTGCACTTTATTTGTATCATTATGACATTGTAATATATAATGAAATAATTATAAAATTATGAATTCATTATTTTGATACAAGTCTGCAAGCATTGATTTATTATGGTCTCTGTGCAGTGAAACCTCACTGCTCATGTTAATCTGTATTTTCAGTTGCTCCCCAATGCTAGCATTACAGCCTCTGCTCCACCTCAGATCATCAGGCATTAGCTTCTCATAAGGAGTATGCAATCTAAATCTATTGGGAGCTAGCCATGGAGGCCCACTGAGCGTTAGGGATCAGGAAGGGTCGTTGACCCCGAGACCACTAGGATGCGTTCAGGAGCTATTTGACCCCATTTCCTCCCCTTTCTACTCAGCACTAACCAGATTAAGCTCCTGTGAGCTCAAAACATAAAAGCTCTGAGACTGAGATGAACACAAGCTAACTTTAGAAGCTCATTGCTCCCATTCTTCCACAAACTGCAGTTTTGGCTTTCACACAACTTATAATTCAAACTCGTGTCACATCTAAGAGCTTTAGTATTGGTCACAGGCTTCTGGGTCATGATCTTAGGATTTATTGAAGGTGTAAATTGTAGAATATAGTTTTAGAAGACAGCCATTTTGTTGAAAGAATGCAGCTGGGTTACTTGCAGGTAGCCCACTGTGAACTTTGGACTGGGCCACAATCCAAACATT